AACATTCACATAAACGTTACAATGGTTTTTCCTTTAATAAATCAAGTACCTCTAAGCAAAGAATATTCATACGAAACTACTAGAAAAGTAAAGACGACCCCCTGCTCACTGAAAGAAATTCCCAGGGCATCCAGTCCCTGTTCAGTCATGGGTAAGGCAAAAGAGGTTTGTGTATTTTGTGGGAGAAGGTGGCGCATGGTTACGTGTGCCAAAGATAAAGATCAAAACCAGAAGAGGGAGGGATGGTGAGGGAGACTTTGCCACTTCTCTAAGTGAAGTACTCGGGCTGGAGCACCCCTGGGAGCCTGCTCTCCCCACCATCACCAGCCCAGGGAGTGGGTCGTGGCTCCACTACTACTATGGCTTTCCCAGTCTCTGAAGGGGCTGCCAACCCTGTGAGATGGTCCACAGACACAGCTTCTGCATTTGCAAATGCAATGCTGTGCTATTTCACAGCTACTTAGGCCACTGAAAAGGTGTATTTTATTTTCTAGTTAATGGCAAGAAATACCCCTACCGAGTTTGGTTTCAAGAGGAGGTGAGTACAGTGACAGTAACACAAAACAAAGAGGCAGGGAGGGGGGAGCCAGCAGAGGCCAAAAGTTCCCCATGGTCCCCCTACCTGCTCCAGGTAATCAATATGGCAGTGAAGTCAATGTGTGCAAAAAGAAGTGGCATTTCTTGCCAGATCATCAAGATTTGGAGGGAGAGTTGGACTAAATGCATCAGCTTGGCTGTGGACCTTTCTTTTTTTTAAAAAAGGAAAAAAAGGAACTTTTTTTAAAATGTTAAAGCTACATTTGTTTAGGCCTCCCATGACTGAACAGAGTATGGGGAGTTGCCCCCTTTTTGTTTGCTTTTTTTCTTTTTTCTTATTTTTTTAAGCAGCAAGTCTACAGAAAGGTAAATCACTGCGGATGGGCTCGAAGCTCATTCTGGAGTCTTTGGCTTATGTGGGAGAGGTATGCATTCGCAGGTGGCTGATCAGATTGCGCTGCTGGGTGAATTTCCCACCACACAGTTGACATTCGTAAGGTTTTTCTCCTGAGTGGACACGCATATGCTCTGTTAGTCGGTACTGCCGGGTAAAGCGCATCCCACATTCCTCGCAAGCAAAGGGCTTGAGCCCCAAGTGGCTGCGCATGTGCCGTGTCATGGTGCCCCTCTGCGTGAACATCTTGCCGCAGATGTTGCAAGGGAAGGGCCGTGTCAGCCAGTGAGTCTTCTCGTGCTGCCGCAGCGTGGCTGGATCTTTGTAGCTCTTCTCACACACTGAACACTTGAAGGGCCGGGACTCTGCCGCATAGGACTGATTGGGATTGGACAAATCCTCAGCTTCATCCTTGCTGCCATATGTGCCTTCCTCCTTGATGTAAAGGTCTTCCTCGGTGTGTGTCTCCACATGGGCATTAAGCTGCTCAGAGCTCGGAAAGCCTTTGCCACAGGGGATACAGACATACAGGTTGTCACCGTAGGCCACTGGCTCAAACCCCTCCTGCCGGTAGACATAGTTGGCACTGGTATGCCCACCGCTCTCACTCTCGCTCTGGCCGCTGTCATCACTGTTCTCCTTACCATTTTCCACCTCCTCCTTACATGGGTAGGGCAGGTCTGTGCTGTAGGCCCCGGCCAGACTCCTCTCCACAGACTTGGACAAGGGCCCCAGCAGGATACCGTTGGGCAGCCCTTCGCCCTCGTCCCTGTCTTTGCCCCCCTCCTTTCGGTCAAAGGCGTTGTCTTTCTTGATCCACTCCTTCTTGCGGGACGAGTGCCGGAGGCCCTTGCGCTGGCTGCCCTCCGTGAGTGAGTGGTGGCACTCTTCGCTCAGATCCATCTCCATGGGGTCACTGCTGTCCACCATGCTGTGAGGGGCTCCGACTCCAGACTCGTCGAACGATGAGGCACTGTTGGCTGCAGGGGCTGAGGCAGATTGGGGAGAGCCATGCTGGCTTTCGCTGTGCTGCGTGTCATCGTGGGAGGCTGCAACAGGGAGCGATGGGCTTTTTTTGGAGAGGTCGAGGCCTAGCTCCTGGTCACCAGTGCTCCCATTCGCACTGCTGCCCCCACCACCATTCTTGCTGGCTCCCCTGCTTAAGGAGTGACAGTTCTCTTGGTTGGAGCTGCTGATGAAGACCTCATCATCAGAGAGCTTTCCCTTTGACAGCTCCTTTGAGTGCGAGCCCTTCAACCCCTCATTTGACCCTGAATAGCGAGCTTGGATGACTGAAGCAGTGGAAAGTCTCTGACTCCTGGCAGATCTCCCAACACCAAGGCCACCGGCCTTGCCGGCAAAGGACTTGCCGTTCCGCTTCAGCTTCTTTCTGCAGAGAGCTGCCAGGTCGTGCAGTTGGAGGTAGCTTGCTGCGGTGAGGAGAGCATTAAAGTTCTGTTCACCAGGCTGGTCAGTCGTTAAGAGCTTACCAGTATAAATAAAGTCCAAGATCTGCCGGAACACGGTGGGGTTCACCATGTCCGTGTCTAAGTTAATCAGGTTGTCATGCAGGACAAGGGATTTGAAATACATGCTGCTGGCTGCCAGGATGTTCTTATGGGCACGAAACAGGGCATTTTCTACCACAATGATCACATCACAGAGGAAACCTTTGGCTCGTTGCTGGTTCAGCTGCAGTAGCAGTTGTTTGGCATGATTTGGCAGTTCCATCTCCACCTTCTCTTCCTCTCACCTTCACCCTACCACCTGCAAAACAGAAGGATGAGAGGTGTGAACCTGCTGTTTCCACTCCAACAGGTTGCATTTAATAGACTGGTTCAACATGGTGCAGTCTATGTTAGGTTTGACACTGACTAAGGACATCTGAGTACATTGAGCCCTGTAAGCTGTGATCCTGCTTGGAGCAGAGAGAGAAATATTTATCAAGCTAAGACTTGATTCAAGTCTTTCAAAAATCAGATATGTAATTTTTATTATCTTTTTACAAAAGTAATTGTCACTGGCTAGAATTACTGTTGAAAAGATACCAGCATGAACACAATAGTCAGGTACAGGGAAAAGCTGTTTCCTCTCCTGACAAAAATTTGAAGAGAGGATGAGGAGCAAGAAAAAGAAGAAGAAAAAAGAAGCATCTACTTCATTGCCATTTGCATAACTGAGCATGTAAAATAATTAGCATAAGCTGCAGCTTCCCTGCTTTAACATGTAGTTTGTTTCTTGGCTCGTACACATTCAAATCTTACAACATCCAGCTGCTCTGAGGTTGAGAAAATGACAGGTAGCAACTAAATCCATTGAACATGGAATTAATCACACTGACGTGTGAATGGGAAGTCTCCTTAAGAGTATGAAAAGCTGCTTTTAAAAACCACCCTGCTGGTAATGTTCATATCCTAGTCCACTGATATGAAGGGCAAGAATCAACCCTCAACTGGCTGAAATTCAGGATGCTGAGTTAGCTAAATGCCACCAAATATCTTCACAAATCTGAAACACTGTTGTCAAGTGAATTTTGTCCTGTCTTTAGTTTTGAAGGTGTTTTGTTTAAACTGATAGGTTACTTGACTCTATTTCAAGTCACAGGCTCTCTACCCTGAAATACTGGGAAGAGAGGAAAATTGATAGTGCCTCCATGTAGTTCATGTATTTCACAAATAGTATTCACAATGTATTTTAGTTTATATGTTTATATTGGCTTTCCCAGTAGTATGGACTGTAGGAAACACCTAGTTTGACACACATCAGAACTAACTGCAGTTGCACGTTTGGTAGCTACTATGATACATATAAACCATAATTTAAATCTGGGGCTGCATTCAGGAATCCAAGATCCATTTAATTTTTTTTTCTTGATTTATTTTTGATTGAAAGTTCCAACTACTACTTGTAATGGACATTTATCTGTTAAAGTAGATTTAAAACAGTTTCTGAGGTTCAAATGTAGGAATTAATACCCAACACACAATGGCCACATTTAGCCTTCCACTTCCTTCCTTCCTTTCCCAGTTCATCATATTATTGAAACATTTCTCTTATTGAAGGAGGAGCAGGCCACAAGCACAGAGAATTAAAAGCTTTTCTCTTAGAATCATCATTAGTTAATGTTTTTATTGCTTGTGATTCCCATTTACGCATTCTGTCCAATCAGTGTTCAAATGATGAAGCATTAGACTGCATTATCTTACCTCTGTGCCAAGTATATGTACACGAGAAAAAGAAATAAGGACTGATGGTGTCAGTATTAAAAATTACTTCCCTCAAACCTGATTCTTACTAACTGGTGAGAAATGGAAAGATTTCATTTGGCAGAAAGGTGTTAAATTTACATCAACCATTTCTGCCCAACAAAAAGATTTTGCTTTATGAAAATAGCTACCAAAACCTAAATAAATGCATTTTTTCCTGCAGCACTGCTGCTTGACTACTCTGGTGCTTTTACCAACAGATCTGCCAAGCAGGTGCCTCCCTTCTTCCCCAGGACACAGCTCCTCACTTAGTCAGCTGCTCAGCCTGGTACCTGCTTATGCTTTTGGCAGAATTTTGTGGTGGCTCTTCAGTGCAGTACCACCTAATTCAGCATCCACATGGATCTCTCTGGCTCATCGCCTTGTCCCACAGCTAAAAAAGCTTATGTGTTTTTCTGTTCTATATTGTTTCAGCTATGAATGGGAGCCCAAGAAGACAGTGAATTCACCACTGACTTTGTGCGCGTGAACGTTGTTCCCAGAGGTCGCTGGCTTTAGAAAGGGTGGCAGCCAAAAGGAGGAAATATAGGCTTGCCATGGTGCTAGTCTCCACCTATAGTGTTTCTGTCACAGAAACTCACCCTGCAGAATCACAAAAACGTGACAGAGACAGAGATTACCACCACTGAGCAGTGTTGAGCACTTTAAAAACAAGTTTTGATGTAATTAGTTACATCAGAGTTGCAGCACGCAGGCAGCGTGTCTGGTTCTAGTGGCTTGCTTCCAGAATTGCTGATTAAGAGGAAGAAGCAACAGCAGAGAGGCACCAAATACCACTTTTATCTAGCCAGGCCAGTAAAAGCACTTATTTCTGGGTCACTGAGATATATTGATAGGGAAGGACAAAAACATGGCTTGCAACATAACACAGCATCTCTCTATATAAATGCACCCTGCTCAAGGCTAGCAAGAGACAGCCTACTCCTACACTATTTCACTACAAATCTAATGGTGCTTTTCCATGCATGTCACACACAAAATCCCTGCGTATGATTTTTAAGTGTTCCAGAAAGGACAAATATGGGAAAGGAAGGGAAACAGCACAGCCAATATTTTTTGCCTAAACAAACTAATAAAAGGGTATGTTACTGAAGTAAAAGCGAGCTTATTTCCCACTCAAATGGCACTTCAAGCACAGGTATACAAATCTCTGTATACAAGTTGTCTAAGTCTTTGCAGAGAGTCAAGGCTTGCTGCAACTGCTATTGCGAAATAGTTTTAGAGGTTTACTTTTTTTTTTTTTAGAACGTTTTTCCCCCCTTTCTTTCTGCCTTAAATTACATTGAAACCAAGTAATAAGCCTTCAGGGAAAGCCCTGGAAAGAGAAGGAGAATTACAATTCTGGTTTTTATTGACCTTCATGAGGAAGATAGTGTTATTATTAAACCTCAGTATGTTCTGCAGCATAAAAATTAGCATAGTACAAGTTGCTTAAATTACCTCTATTTATCTCACATGTCAAATTTTACAAAACTACTCAAGTTCAGTAGGACATAGCTATGAGGTAGGTTATTACCTTTAGTAGATTTTAAAAGCAGTGATCAGGTTCAAGCATTATAACAATGCCTATCATATCTGAATTTGTAAGCTGGAGTCTAATGTGGATTTAGCAACCCCAACAAAATGAATATAATGAAACAAGGCAGCAAAACCTTAAGTTTAGAGCACCATAAAATTTTGTCAGAATTGCCCACTGAGGGCTTTTACCAGGACAGCAATATAGCTCAGAGAATACACCTTTGGCTGACGTGCCCTTGTTGACAAAAGCTTTAGAGCAACTTGCCTTGTGTATCTTGTGTAGTCCTGAACAAAAATAAATCCATTCCAGGTATTTTCCAGAGCTGACCAGTTACAAACCCTTCTCTAGCAATGATGCATTTCAGAGGTGGAGGAAGAGAGGAGTGTTGGAAAACTTGTTAGCAAAAGAGAAGCAGGCATTATTCCTTAACCTATGACATCCCTAAGATGTCACCTCTAGCTGAAAGCATGAGACCATGGGCAGCTACAAGGTTAAATCCTGTATAAAAGTTAGCAGATCTACTCAAATAAATGGCAGGTGCAGCCTTACTATCCATTAGCTTGCAGATACTGTTTCTTAACAAACCCTAACATTTGAATAACACCACAGCAAGCCCCCAAAGCCCTGAAAAATCAGTGGGTTTATATTGATTGTGTCTCAGTATCATTTTTAATCACCCTTCCTTTTCTGTTTTCTGCAAAAACACAGAAAAGACACACTCCCTGTTCGGGGGAGCCCAGGCTCAGAAAAGGCTCAGATGCATTTCTAGTGAAAAAACAAACCCCAGATCTCAAGAATACATAGATGTCTCACTGGGGCCACAGTCTTTAGTCACTGAATGTGGTGTGCAAAATTTCACTCCCTTGCATTTAAAACAGGATCACAGAAGGCTCTGGACAAATAGCACCAGTGATGGTCTTTTCCCAGATTCAGGTTTGGTTCCTTGGCATTCAAGACACACAGTTGTCAGAGCAGTGAATCTACTCAAATACTCTTGTGCAAGGAGGGAATGCAGCAAGACTGAGCTCTCCACTACTTCCACCATATCCATGACACCGAGACACAGCACATGCAAAGACATGAGAAATACAGGGCACAAATCACAGAATACAGTAATGCTGCAAGCAGATGCCACACATCAAACAAAGCTTTGCAAGCTAAGAGCCGACAGCGTCTTCATAAGCAATACTGCCCCAGGAGCTTGGTAACTGTGGATTGCTGCGCCCAGCCTGGGGGACACCGTGACCCTGGGGGCAGGAAGATTGTGCAGCACACACAGGCTGCTTCAGGAGCTGGGCTGCTCTCACTACACAGCAGGAAAAATATTTTTCTCAATTTCCACAAAGACTCTGGATGTCACCAAAAATTAAATTGCTAAAGTACAGGAGAAGAGAAATCCCTTCACTCCTTTAAACACTATAAAATCTACATATTCACTACAGATTTGATTCTCTTTAATATCACTAAATCTCTTCCTAAAAGTAACTGCTGAATGAATGCTAAATGTGTTATCTTAGCAACCTCTGGCAGGAGATGCTATTTGATTTCACCTCTGAGTTATAGATTGCAGTGTATGAATATTGTTTATCTTTTAAGAAGCAATACCAGTGAAGTAAAGAATCAATCAAAAACAGGTCTAAGGAATCACTCATTTCATGTAGAGGATTTGTGGATGGATGAGAAGGCTGGACACCGAGCACCTGAACAGTGAACTAACAGTACTGCAGATAAAAACCAACAAACAGATTAGATGTGATGTATCAAATTAGATGCTGTTAAAGTGTCAGCCTACTGTGCGTGTTATAACAGACCGAGGAAAAGATAGTGGCCTGCTTACTTATTTCTCGACCTTCCCAAGCAGTTGTGCTGCACTGAGTAGATACTGCAGCAGTGAGCATGGGAAGAACAAGACAAAACTAAATTAATTGTTTCCTATGTTGCTCTTTCCCACCAATTTCTGACATTAAAAATGCTGTGTCCAGCTGCTACTGGAACTGGGTGAAACTGAAATAGATGACTTCTGCACCCTTCAGTTTCAGATGAACCAACTTCTTTTGAGCACTTGACAACCCCGCTAGGAAGAGAGCTTTCCTGTTTGTCACTGGCTCATCTGATCTTCCTCTCCCCACATCCCAACAGATCCTAATTTCAGGACTCTCCAGAGGTATCAATGAAGTGGGTGGTTCATGGCCACTAACCTGCGCCCCAGGAGCTGCCACTGGCAGGTCATTTGCCCAAGACTTTCAAAGGTGTTCACATTCCATAAGAGCAAAAGCACAGGGAAGAATGCTGGAACTGTGTTAGCCCAAATGGTTCCCTAGACAGACAGCAGAATTCAGAAGCAGAGGCAAGAACATGCATTTTCATCACTGGCAGTAGAACAGCAAAAGCTCTGTGAAGTGGGCTCAAGCAGAAAACAGGATGCAGCACCCTTGTTTTTCTCACACTAATATTTTGCACTTCAAAACAGCTAAGACCAACACCTCGAGTTACTGGGGAGTGAGGTCTGCAAAGCTGAGGAATGGAGAGAAAGTGACATGCAGGACAGAGCAGGATATGCAGCTGATTTTGCAGGTGTGGACATGAAAAGGAAAATGGAGGATCATTTTGGAGAGGATACCACATCAGCAAACTTAAAGTGGCCCTTGTTTAGTTTGTTACATTCCAATGAGCGCCAGGCAGAACTGCCCTCCCAGCTCCCTGAGGCAGCTCTTGCAGGACTCCCACAGGAACAGTACAGCTTTGCTTATGGGCACAAGCACCTGCCTGCTCAGTACCTCTGTGCGGCAACGTTTGGACATTAGGTATGTGGGCAATACATGCTCAACTGCTACCAGCTCCTGGTACAAAAAGGAGTGAAGAAAAAGGGTCAGATGATTTCCCAGTCCCTTCTCTCATGTTCTAGAATGACAAGGAGAGCCTGACATGGCTAGGCCATTCCCTACTGAATGGCAAACTTCCCGGGAAAGGGGAATCTCCATGGGTGAAAAGGGTAGGGGCCCTGTGTGCATGAAAGCACTAACATTAGGAGAACAGAGTGATTTCCAGTCAGTGCAAGACTGCAGCAAAGCAGGAACACCTTGCTATACAAGCTGAGACTACAAGCAGTAGAATGCAGATTAACCACTTGGTTGCCGCTTACCATGCCAGGTACATTGGGCTAAAGGCACCTCCATCCAGTGCTGCCCGACGTGCCAGGTACATCCCATGATGTTCCATTGAAATCACAACAGGCCATCAATAGAACGTGGCTGCACGGATGCAGAATGGAGAACCAGCAGGGACGCTGTTAAATGCAATTAAAAAACTGCAATCAAAATTGAAAGGTACATTTTAATATGGGCACCTGCCTTACATATGTAACTGCTAGAATAACCTCCCCTCCACCCAGCTCCCCACGACTGCTGAGCTGCGACGGAAGCACAGCAGAAAGCCTCTGCAGGTTTGTTATTGGCTCTCTCTGGCCACCTCCATTCAGGATTCCCAATGGCACTGAGCTCCAGGGGGACAAGTCCATGTGTATCCAAAACCAGCAGATCCCAGAATATCTGCATGAGCTTCCTGCTTCCTTCTGCCCAGAAATTCAGGCAGCTAAATATCATCACCATTTAGAAACGCCTCTATGACAAGAACAGCCTTGTGCCAGAGCTTCATGGTCTCATTCTCCACACAGTACAGGCAACGGAAGAAACTCTTAAATGCTGATTCTCTGTGTTGTCTCCATTTCCTTGTTCCCCTTCCCAAGCCTTTGAAATCTCTTTCTAGAGATGTTATGGCACTGAGCCAGGCTGGATACTTTGGTGCAAGATGGGAGAAGAAGTGTATATATGTATACCCTCTCCTATTTATAATGATGCTTTACTGATAATTTAATCTATGTTCTTAGAGACTGGAGATCAAGTAGATTCATGGTGAACTGCAGCTTGCACAAGAGTCACGAAACTTAAGATCTCTAATTCCAGCCTCCCCTGCCCAAAGGAAAAAGCAACATCATCAGTTTCACATGAGGGAAAGGCACATCTCACAGATGCCCCCGTGTGACAAGCTGATTGTATCCCCTGCAGTGCGTCTCCTCCTTCCCACGGGGTTCTGTAATCAGCTCCAGCAGGATTATCATGGAGGACAGTCTCAGGGTACTTGGTAAGCACAAGTCCCTCTCTACAAGTGGTGGTGCTGCCCCAGTGGAAACAAACAAAAATCCCAAGCCCACTGAAAACCAGTACTGAAATAAGCCTGCAGCCTGGCTGGGATTTAATATAGGTTTCTAGACCCTCATGGTGAAGTGAAACATCTGCATAGCTCTTATCACATTGATGGCTGCACATCTTCAGCTGTGCTGCTAGAGATAGAAATCTTACATTTAAAAAGTGAAAAGAATATTGATTATCAGCCTTAAAAGCTAAAAGGTCAAATGAAAAAGACTTACAATAATTAATGTAGTTGGATGAGAGAAAACATAAGAGGACACTGGCCTGGGAAACAGAAAGCATCTTCAAGAAATGGACACTGAATATAAGGAGATAGTTCATTCTTCCTGGACATCTGCTGGGCTTAGGCCCAGGACACTGTTCCCATCATTCCCACCTGCATACTTATCCCCACGGTTCTGTAACTAACTCCCTTTCACAATGAACTAATAGGTCTTTTGTATTCAGATCACCCTGTTTTGACTGCTATAGGGTGAAGATTTTTTAATCTTGTCAATACAATGAAGAAGTGAAATGTTTGATTACTGACCTGGGCTGTGCCGAGCCCTGAGCACTTGCTGAACTAGTCTGAACAGACCACTGCCAGCATGAACAGGCCAACTACCGTGCAACTTTAAGCATAATGGACCAGAGTCCCATGGATTTGGAGCCCTCCCCTCTCCAGAAGATCACACTCTACACTGCATAGGAGCAACATACTTCTGACTTCATCTGCCAGCATCAGACTCTGCAAAACCCTCAGCAATACTCAGGTTAACGAAGGCTGAATGCTGTGTAAAGGTATTTCTTGAACAGCACCTCAAATGCAGATTTACACCCAGATGACTGCAATTTGCTTCTTGCTACTGTGAAGTAAAGGCTCTTCTCCACAGCTGTGTTTCCCCTCTAGGGCAGAGATTAGCAGAGAACTGCTTAAAACAAAGGTGTTTCCTACTGTTAGAACATCCCACTGCAGTCAGAAATGAAGCTTCCTGCCAATTTCTAAACAGAGCACTTGCATATTCTACATTTATTTTCACTGCTGACATGAAGGAGCCTAAGATTGCCCAAACCTCTAGTGGGTGGAGAAAAGGAGAGGTATGGACATTGCAGTTCTTGTCAAGCAGAGCCAGGCACTAAAAATTCCTGCATATCTGCAGAGTGCAGTTGATCTCAGGAACACAGCAGTGGCACAAAACAAAGCTTCAGAAGCTACTGACCAGCAGTAGACACTGGGCTCTTCTGCAGTCCTGCAACAACTGAGAAAGCTCAGTTCCAGCTGTCCCTGCATTGCAAGTAATGAAGGTACTGTGTCCTATACTAATCTAATTTAATGTATTTATTTACTTCTTATTGCACAAAAATACCCACATATTGAGAGGAGTAGCTCAGCCCACACAAGAGGAAGGATACCTTCTACCCATCCACCAGTTAAAGCCCTTTGGTATGCAAAATTTCTCTGTTTCCCAGCTACCTTTGAGCCTTGATGTACAGAATTCTTTCTCTACAATGCAAGAATTTAGGACACGACTAAAGGATTGTTGCAACCTCCCAGCTAATCCTAGAGAGTGTTAAGCCGGATCAACAAACCTATGAATCACATGGAATGAGATGATGTTTCTGGTCCTAAAAGCTTGGGCCCTTTCCTTCAGTATGGTAGGCCAGTTGGCTGGGGGTGCACAGGGTGGCAGCCTCATGCTGAGCATTGGCCACAAGCACACACAGCACAGTGGAGGAGTAGGAATGTCGTGACCATTCTCCAACCAGACTGTCCTAGAGCACCCTCTGAGTTCCAGCACTGCTTTAGGGCTCTGAGTCACCACAGGTACAAGCTGATAGCAGGTTGTGAAATGCAGTAATACTGGAGCAAACCTACGACCCTTTCAACTGTCCCTGCAGCTGGGGAGGGATCTCCGGGACAGGGATGAGGCAGACAGCTGGGACTAGTGACTGTGACTCAGACTCCTTAGTTACATGGTTTGTGAGAGCAAACAAAAGTCTCAGTAATGGGGGAAATGGGAGAAGGTTTGATAAAGATCCTCCCAATAGGCCTGCTTATTTCTTGTGTGGACTCAGCAAACTTTTCTGCAGAGAGAGGCAGTCTGTACAGGAGCATCTGCATGCAGAATATTGCTAATACCACGAATCTGCAATAGTTAAGACTGAGTTCCATGCTGAGGAGTGCAGGAAGGACATGGGTAGTAACAGTCTTAGACCAAAATGTCATCACTCTTACCATATGCCAGATACCAGTGAGCACAAAACAAATATTATTGTTTCATTTTCTTCCACAAGACCAAGTCTCATTTCATTACCTATATCAACAGATGCACCAGCAACAGTTCTTACCATAAATACACAATGCCTTATAGAGTACAGCACCTTTTGCACTTTAGCCACAATTTTTTTCTTTTCCTGTAGAGCTGACCATGTACTCAACCCTGTACTTAGCAGAGAAAGCTTTGTTTCTAAGTTTCACTTCGGTGAAGTCTTTTAAGCACACCACTGTTTTTAAGAGTTGGTCCCAGCAGTATTGAGACTGTACTGCCTGCCAAACATCCCTCCAAATCAGATGCTTAACCGATCACCCTGAATCCTTTCTATTTGCAACCAAAAAGTGTTTCTGCACATCTGAGCCTGGAAAATGAGAGAAGGCCAGAAAGCCACTCTTGCTTGTAAAAACAGAAGGCCTAACAGACTCAAAGTTTTGCAAACTGTCTGCACTGCATCCAGATCTCTCCAGGCTGAAGACAACCTAAGGGGAAAAGCGGAGTTCACTCACTTTCAGAATTCTTCATTTTCTTGGCTGCCTTTGCTCAACCACTACTTCTCATTTTGACTGTTTTATTCTTCTGTCTTCTTCACTTGATACTACAGACATTCTTTAAACTCAGCTCACAGGCTGCAAGGGCGTCACTCTACATATGCTTCCAAAATCCACCTCTTCCCAGCCAGGCTTCCATCCTGCCAGCTTTATCCTGTAGCCCTGCACAACAGTGGTCCAGGGCTGCAGATACCTCAGGCGCATTTGGCCATTCTTCCCTGTCAGACAGCTTCCCAGCTTGGGGGATTACAGCCCCAGACACTTTATGAAAGGCAGCCCAGCAAGGTCGTGGACTGTTGAAAACTTTGCTACAGGATCTTTCTCCTTTCATTTCCTACACACTATTCTTGTCAAGGCCAATGATTTTCTGGCAGTCCTCAAAACACACAAATTACAGACTTTTGTCATGAATGAAGACTTAAAACATCTCTTCATTTTAGAAAAGTGGAAGGGGAGGAGCAATGCAGAGGGGAAGGTACTTTTGCCCAAGACTGGGTTTTGAAAAGGGGATTGGCAGCCTGTGTATGCGCTTTACCCTGTAATCTGAAAGCTCCTCAGGACAGGACCCTTAGAAGTATTTTATACTGAACCACATACACATCCCAGAGCACAAGAACCAGCAGCTCCCCACATCCACTCCAGTCTGCACAGCTTCTCCTAAATCAACACTGCCAGAAGGCAAGACAGCACTATAACAAATTAGCACCACTCACAATTTGTTGAAGTTGCTGTTCCATTGTTGGTTTATTTAAAACACGCACAGGCACACACACACAGAAACCTCCCAAGCCTGCTCTCTGCTGCCATCCCCCAAACTCCAGATTCGTAGTCTCAGAGGCGAGCAAAGGCTGTGGATTAAACCCATGCAGAGCAACAGCCACTGCACTGGGGACTCTGCCTGGGTTTTGCTCTTTCACTACAGGCCCACACTGCTCCAGCCTGGAAGATCATGCTGTCAAAATCCTTTTTTCAGCACCTGACTGGGAAAGTGTTGTTAAGAAAAAGAAAGAGCCACAGGCTTGAAAGTACCCAGTGCTAATAAAACTCTTAGTGCTAATGCTATTTATGAACATCCAAGGGATAATCTGCACCCCTTATCAGACCACAAGATTATAAGATCTTTAAAATAGGAAACATGTCTTACTTCATAAAGCACTGTATACGTTTACAAACCACAATATTAGTGGTAATAAATAATTGTCAAAGTCAAGCACAGAGGTGGCTGTAAAACCTGAAGCACCTCTGCCATTCCCATTTCATTCTGAGCTCTGGGCA